ACCTGCTCTGCCTCTGAGCCACATCTAGTGGCAAGTGAATTTTATATATGTAACCTTTAAGGAAGTATAAATTAAATTAGTTTTAGCATTTACCTTATGAGCCAGCTTCAGACAAATTCAAAAGATTTTTCCTAAAACAAAAAAAAAATGCTTTTTAACAAGTCCTTGATCTATTTACCTAAAAATGGGAGCACTGTGAGCATAAAAAGACACAAAACCATATTTTGTGACAAACATTTAAAAAATGTAAAAGCTCAAAATTCTATATTGTAGAGGTGAATTTCTCCAGCTTTCCATGTGTGATTTAACTGTTTGTAACAACATTGTTTAGACAGAACCCATTGTGCACATGCAGTCCACCTTGAAGGTCTGGATAGCCTGTTGGTGTGTGAGACCTTGGAGAGACTCCCCGTTCACTTCCAGAATCTCATCTCCTGCACAGGGAAGCATACAATTAGACTGTTCAGCACAAGTTTAAATGAAGATCACTGTTCCTCTCATACTATGCATTTTACTTTCCTACAGTATATATTCTCTCAATCCAGTAGAGCAGAATGAAAAGGAATGGTTACCCTCTTTCAGTCGTCCATCAGCTGCTGCAGCTCCATGAGGGAAAATAGTTTTGACAAAAATCCCCATTTGACCACGTGCTGAGTCCTGTCCACCAACAATACTAAATCCCAGGCCCTATAAAAGTTAGATCTCAATGAATGTCAGACAGGATTAGCAAAGAAACAACAGCCAGTGTTCATTGTTTTTGATTTTTTCTAAACATATTAGTATTGTTTGTTGGTGGTGAAGCAAATTAGTTTAATCTAATATCTATCTAATAAAAGCAAAAAATGCCACTAAAAAATACACCAATCAGCCATAACATTATGTTCATACTGTTATGCAGCCCCATACAAACAATGTGTGATGCACTGTGTCAGCACTTTTCCTTCCTTGGACCACTTTTAAAAGGTATTGACCACTACAGACCGGGAACACCCCACAAGCGCTGCAGTTTTGGAGATGCTCTGACCCAGTCAGTTGGACATTGTCAAAGTCACTCAAATCCTCANNACATCAACTTTGAGGACAAAATGTTTAGTTTCTGTCTAATATTTCCCACATATTAATCCCATGATAACCAGTTATTCAGTTAACCGGTCAGTGCTAAAATTTGTTATGGCTGATTGGTGTATATTAGCAACAGTTTTGTATATGGTACACTAATAGGCCTCTAACCCTAAACACCAACCGGGAACTAGCTCCATTACGGTTTGTGGACCTAGTTTTGAACCATTTGGAGCATTTTGACCAAAACTAGATTGGTTTGGAACACCAAAAGTGGGTTCCCAACCAAGTTGTCTGATTACAATGGTTCAACTCAAAACTGGTGAAAATGCGGGCTGGTTTGCTAGATAGCACCAAGGTTCAAATAATCTTGAACACAATCAGTTCAACAACCAGAACTAATTTGGTGGGAAAACACTATAAGTGTGCATAATAAAGGAATGACAATATCAACCTTGTTTCGGCTATAGTATAATGGTGCAGGACGCATCTGTTATTGTGTGCTTACGTACACATATTCAGAGTACATTCTCTAGTTTTATTCATGAGTACATGTCAAAGGAGTGCACTCACCTTGCCCTGGCCTTTCATCAGCACTATACTGGAGATAATGGACGGCTGTGCCAGTCGCCATGGAGACTCCACTTGAACGGTGCTCAGGGAGCGGGCTGATTTCTTAATTATCTGATATTCCTAAAAGGGAGATGAATATGAAAAGAAAAAAAACAGTCAGACAGTTGAATCTTGTAAAAACAACACAGTTATTAATGTTATGAAATTTTTCCTTTCTCTTCAATGAGTTCTAGTTTAGGATAACATTTGTGTTTTCCCGTTTTTCCTGTATTGCCATCTCATTAAGGTTCGATACTGTAGCTGCTGTTGAAAAATGTGTATCTTGATGACTTAAGCCTGTGTCACCCACACAGCCAGGAAAAGCCTGTGATTCTGTCCTGCTTCTACTTTATTTCCTTAGCAAACCTCTCATTAGCACAGCAATTAGTGCAGCTCTCCTTGACACTGATGTCTTCACATGTACCTATGTTGTTTCGTGTAGCCTACTTTTTGTATGTAATATTTCAGATTACATGATAAATGGTAAATGGACTGCACTTGGCATGGCACCTTTCTTGACTTCAGACCACTCATAGCACTTTACACTACATGGCACATTCATCCATTCATATGCTGATTCTTCCAACTGCTCATCAGAAACTTATTCAGATACCACAATGTGCTATACAGTGTTGGTGTTGCAGACTGTAGAGCTAGATGCAGTATGTGACTTGGAACAGGATTACTGATAAGCTCATAAGATAAGATAAAAGATAAGATAAGATAATTCCTT